ATTGTTGCGTCTAGATGGCAGCTTGCTAGCTTTTAAGATCCCAGTCGCTACTTGCCAAAGTAGTAGGTGGAACAATGTTTTGTATCTGATAATCCATCTTGATGTCTGTGTTTCGATATTATTTTTTTCCAGTTCACCAGTCATGGCAGAGTCCAAGGTAGGTGATTCATTTTGCCTCAACTTGACTCCTCCTCAGGATTACAATGCCTGTCATTTAAGCATGATATCCCATAAGGAGAGGAGGAAATTCTGAGATCCACATCCAGTGGTGTATTGAACACCACCAACAACCTAACCTCCACGCTTGACATCAGGAACCAACATCCGCCCTAAATTCCCACAGGACAAGGCCACATTTGTCAGGAAGCAGGGAGACAGAGGAGACTCCTTGGAAAAAAGCTGCTTTTCTTTTGCTTCAGAGCTGTGTCTGTTTCCATTCATCTCTGAAGAAAGATGTGCTGAGAGAAGCAAAGTTTTGTGCTCAACCATGTGGAAAGACATGTGCCATAAACAGATCCAAAGGTCTGGTCCCCCTCTGGAATCTGTAGACTCTTAGGTTGTTTTCAAGAAGACAATCCCAACCAGTTGCTTTCAAGTTGCCTGTGACTCCTGGAGACCCCACGTGTGCCAGAGCAGAACTATGCTCCACAGGGTTTTCAATGGCTGATTTTCCTGAAGTAGATCACCAGTCCCTCTGGGTGGATTTGAACTTCCAACCTTTCCGTTAGCAACTGAGTGTGTTAATCATCTGCATCACCCAGGGACTCCAAGAGGACACTCAAAAAAGAAACCAAACTCACTGCCATTCAGTTGGACCCGACTCATAATGACCCCTCCTTGGGTTTCTGAGGTGGTATCACTATGGAAATAGATTGCCCAACCTTCCTTTCAAGGAGTGGCTGGTAGGTTTGAATTGCCAGACTTCTGGTTAGCAATCAAATGCCTAGGCACTACGTCACCAGAGCTCCTAAAGATGACACTAGTCTGCAGGTATTTTTTTGCTTCCTAGAGTGAGAGAGAAAACAGCAGCATCTGTATCAGGGCTTATAATGTAGGAGGAGCTCAGTCTCCAAAATTTACATGTTAAGTGCTGTGGTTCCCTGCTCTTTTTACACAGTAATTCTGGATGATACTGTGAAATCTATAAATTCTAGTTGGTTCTTCACACATTTTGCCTTCTTTGCTGTTAAAGTCCTCAGGTCCATCACTGACACTCTACTCTTCTCCCTGCTGGCTTAGGGCCCACCACTGAGGACTCCTTCCCCTAGTCTTTCTCCTCTTGGGTAAGGACCATTGTCTCTCCTCATCCCCTTCTGCCTCTAACATGTATATCCTGATTTCCATCTTAGA